ATGTTAAAGTTTGAATATTAATCATCATTGCACTAAATTCGTTTGTATTAATCAAAATTGCATAAAATAAACAGCGGTTTATATTGAAAATAACGCCGACTGTCGAGTCCTAGGCAGGGTGAAAATTCTTTTTCTAGTTGGAACAAGCGGAGTTTGTTTTGAAAGGTAACTTATCTTAAACAAAACGCCAGCCAACGCTTTGGTACTTTTAATCCCGCTTTGAAGCCCGCGAGTCCATTACCCATAATGCACCCGATATAGTTGTATACTATATACTTGGTTGGATCAGAATTTCTGCATATCTGCATATATATGTGGAAATCACAAAATTGCATATTCTCCATCTATATTCCCCATCTATTAGCAAATTGAATTGATGGTTTTTAGATGTGTTTCACATTGGATAAAGTTGTCAACTTTATATAAACAATAATAGACACCCTGACAGCTGTGATGTCTATAACGTTTCCACTATTTGCTGCCTCGGCATTATATAATCTCTTACTTAAAACAATACAATTCAAGACGGTCGCCGTATCAGTAAAAGGTCTATTTTACGCTATAGTTTATATGCATGAAATAATAAAAAGCTCGATGCTCGGATTTTACTGTGGAAACACAAGCTGTAATAAGACATGGTACTTTGATAACATTTTTTGCCCGCCTTCATATAATTGCCTCATGGATAGAAATTACGAATCATTATGGGAGGAGCTTAATATGTCATCAAGTTACGAACATCAATCACTATATTTTAATCCCTGCATTCTTATTGGCCCAATCACTTTGTCAATTTGTATTCTAATTGTTCAAAATGGCAAAGAGAAAAATAAGAGAAAAATGATTCTATAGCGTGCTAAACAGTTTATCAGCAGAAAATATATTGCCATTATTGAAGTAAGTACTGAAGAAAAACGTTTATGAGGTAGAGAGACTGATTGTAAGTTGCCGTGGTGCATATGTAAGACAATAAAATGAGGTATATAATGCTTAAATAATTCATATTATTTTTGCAACTTTAATGAGTTCAGTGTTCTTTGTCACTTAGGAAGAATGTTTGGTTGATCTGTGAATGATAACCAAGAGCTTCGAGAACAATCGGACATTAAGACATAGACATTTAGAAAGTTGCAAAGTCGTATTTCGTGCGGATTTTGCCCGGTTTTCTCTTCTTAGTTACCAGACAGGTATCTGTCATATGCTAAGGAGGCCTTGTACAATTGAGTATTGATATCCGAAGAAATGACATAAAGGGAAGGAAAGTTTAAGTAATTGAAGTTTTCGGGTATTCTTTTGCGTTGTCAGAAGGTTGAAGCTGAAAGGTGCTCTACGAAGGATAGCTTAAGTACAGGATCTTAAAACCGAAAGAAATCTTTTGATTTTTGAATTTATTTTTGAACAAAACGTGAAAAAGACACGGAACTTTATGATTTTTAAGGTATTTACTTTCAAAAAATCAATAAATACTCTTCGATGAACACAGGATTGTGTGCGAAATTTTGCAAGATGGCGCGGATCATGTTTTGTCTTAAGAATGACACTTTAATGGAATCAAGAATTGTATTTATCTACGAATCAACAGTTATGTGACAATTCCGTATCGTGTCTTGCAAAATGACAAGCATATGAGGAGTTTAAGATCTTGAGCATCGAGAAAAAACTACAAAACCTGTGAGTACCTATATATTTTCTACATTTATTCAGAAGCTTGAACTGTCTTTAAAATTCTGGCCATGTTTACACTAGTACTGATGCTACAAATCCAATCTTACCTTCCACGCCATTCGACAGGAAAACCGAGGCCATGCACAATACCAATATCAACAGAATTTTCTTGGCCATTCTTTAAGCTTCTTTACTGGAAAGAGGTCCTGAAAATTTTTTTTGCGGAAATTAATTAGTAAAACTAAATAAGGTGATGCGCAGACCAGCATCTGTCTCGTACCAAATGCCGAAGAGGCTTTTGGGAAGGAACGAAAGGAGGATCACTGGGTACGAGAGTGCTGAGATGTCTAAGATTCCGACATTTTTCTATTCTGTGCATGCGCCGTTATCCGGAATAACTATCAACTACCTAGTAAAGCTTTGAAAAACAGGTTTTAAAATCATTGATTCACAAATAAAGAAGATATATAGTTGCACTAGCCACTAGCACTACTAGCCACTAGCACTACTAGTAGCATAACCCAGTTCATACTTTAAGAATCTTTTGCAGTGCGCAAGCGATTTTATCCCGAATTTATCCACTACTTTTGTTTAAACCTTATTTTGTTGTTAATTAAGCAAAAGAAAGGAGAGAAATTCTTGATAAAATCCTATGAGCACTGAAAACTATTCTTAAACTGTGAACTGGTTTATTAATCTATCAGAGAAAATGTTTATTGCAATAAAACGCACGACGAAAATGTTCATTTGCTCGCTAACAATTCAACTACAACTGGATTCAACGCGCAGAGTATTGAAAACAGATGCATTTTTTGATAGGACGTTGTTCTGGACCTAAAAACATGAGAAGAACGAAGAAAGGTGTTACAAAAGTAGCTGTAAACACACCTTGATAGATGAGTTGTGCTTTTTTGCTTCCAGAAGAATTATGGTCTGATGTGCAATTAGATTCGCTATTTATAGAGCCTGTGATTGACACATGCTAATAAAGCAATAATGATAATTATCAAACAGACACAAACGGCGGGCCGCGGAAAAAAATCCGAAAATTTTTATTTTACAGTTAGTTTTACATAAAAATATAAAACTAATACCTAAACCGGCATCATACTCATCACATATTCAAATAAAACATTCTTAGAAATTTTACTTTAATTTCAATTATTTTTTGTAAAGAACGTTAAATATATTTACAAAAAAATAATTGAAATTACTGTAAAAATAAGCCGCCATTTAGTTACCACGAAGGCGCCACTTTCCCCCTCTTGGTCTACGTCCTAAGGGCGTTCTGATCCATGGAGGGCAAACTGTCATAGAAAGAAGAACGATTCTCATTTTACATTTTAAATTCATGTAGGCTTTGTGAGTAATGTTTGCTTGCGTACTTATATACTGACTACATGAATTGATCCACCCTAGACGTTCGTTTCGAGAATATGACGCAGCTTTTCTCTGTAAATACCCACACAGATCGATCTAATGCTCTTTATTTTGTAATGATAGCCCAATAGACACGAGTGAAAAACGTCTGTGCATGCGATTAATTCGTATGAAATTATGCAAACTTAGTGTCCATGCTTGAAATTTAACGCTAATTCTATCATACTGTGCTTGGTAATACAGTATCTTATTCTGACAAAAGTATACTCGCGAATGTTTTTGTATACTCGGAAAAAACAAACATTTTATTCTATCTCAAACTCTTCAAAATATTTAGAAAACGTGTTTAGATGCACGCATGCGCAAGCGATTTTTTCTAGTGTCGGCCCAATATTCATGTTACCTTGTCGTAACCAAGGAAGAACGAAAAGGGTGGGATTGACTTTAATTAATAAATGAAAAATATAATTACATATTATACGATTAAATCAATAGTAAATATACTTTCATCGATGAAACATAAGAAATAATTTCATTCAAGAACCAATCTGAATTATAGCGGAGCACCATAGGTATAGAATATGGTAAACTATGCAACTCAGTTTTCGTGGTCATCGCATGGGAACCCTGTGCGTAACGCTAAAAGTGTCGCCCGACAGGTGTACATCGCGTTTCTGATTGGTCGAGCTTGCAAATCACACGTCACTTGGAAAATGACGACTTTTTTAAACGAGATTTTTTTTTAGATATTGTAAAAACGAAACAAAAAATTATTGAAGAAATCATGGAAAAAAAGGATTCGCCACAGTGTGAAGATAGAAGTTAGGACATTTTCTATTTTGTTTTATTTAGTGTAGAAACATAGCTACAACATTACCGGAAAACGAGCAACAAACTAGCATGACGAACTGAGCGAAAAAAGTACTTGTTTTGTTCTTATGGTAAGAGTATTCGTAGTCCATACATGATATAAAATAATCATTTGAAAAAGCACTTTTTGAATTCCACAATTAAACAAATCCAAGAGATTTTTGACAAAGTTTAAAGCTAAATAATATTCCTAAAATTACCGGCAAACGAGTAACGAACTAGAATGATAAACGTGCGAAAAAAGTGTACCTGTTTTGCTATTATGGTAAGAGTACTTTCATTTTGAATTTCATTCAATAATTTTATATCTTTCTACAGATAATTTATCTAAATATTGAATGAGTTTTAAAATTACACCAAATATTCAACTTGAGCTTATATTTGTGTTGTTGTGAGATATGTTATTGTATAAAGAACGGTACCTCTTTCACTTTCAAAAGCTAAGAAAATATTTAAAAACATTTCCAAATGCCAATTTACTGACAAAGAAAATTTTATTTTGTATTTGCATCGCATTTTGCGTTATTTTCTATTTTGCCTCAGTTGTTCTTGTCAAATATAAATGAATGTAAACTCATTAGTTTTTCAAAAACTTTTGTTGTTAACAAGATGAAAACTGGTAGAATTGAATTTTCAAAATCTAGTAAGATTATGTTTTCAAGCTTCTCGAAAAATAGTTAAGACTTTTATGAATAAAAATACGGTTCTTGTAAAAACATAAAACTTTTGATGTG